CTAAGAGCTCCATGCAGTACGCCTGACATGTGGCAGTGTCGGGGTCTGCGGTGACTACATCTCCCTCCACAGGAATCCCTAAAATGGCCCTCACGTCGTGCAGCAGTATACACATTTCACCAAAAGGCATGTGAAATGAGTTCGTATCTGGCTGCCAGCGCTCCACAAATGCACAAAGAAGTGGAGTGTCGAGGTGACTATGCATACAGAAGGCCAAATGTGACATCCCGGTGTCACGGATCAGGGCGCGCGGAGCCGGACTCATCTCCTCGAGCCAAATCTTCACATTCTTGTACGCTGACATCCTGTTTTGGCATTTCAACATGCCTCTTAATTCTCCTACCCACATCCTAGAGGCTACGTGCCCTAAAAAGCTAGGGATCACACTCCCGTCAACAGGGCCACCGGGCACTGGCCCTTTGACGATCCAGTCGTCAACCTTAGTGCGTTTGCTACTCGCACCTGTATAGAATAAAAAAATCAATATATATAGAAGCTCTGACGCTAATTTAATGTATCATTAATTTTTTTATTTATTTTATATGTATACTATATATTTATATAATTTATATATTTTATATCATTTATTTTATTAATTTGATAAGGTATGACATTTCTTTTAATTATTATAGATACGATTGAAAATGGTTTATTTGAATTATTATATTTAAAATTTTTAATTATTATATTTTAATAATTATATTTAAAATTTTTATATATATATTCAAGTTACAAAATACAGACAATATAAACAACCATATTTTTAATTTTAAAATAATGTTATTTTTATTTTTTTATTTTTGATTTACAAAACTAAAAATAAATAAAAATATTGTACATTAATTTGCTTATCTATTTTCTAATAATTTAAATAGACTATTTTGCCCTATATATAATCCAATTTATACAATAATACTTTTTTAAGGAAGTGAATATATCACACATTGCAAACACACATGTAAAAAAATGTCAGAAAAATGATAAATACGCAAATCATTTACCTGAGGATGGATGGGCAGGTCGGCGCAGTTGTTTTCCTGGACGGGGTTGTGGCGGCTGTGGCTGTGGCTGCGGCGGCTGTGGCTGTGGCTGTGGATGTGGCTGCGGCGGCTGTGGATGTGGCTGCGGCGGCTGTGGCTGCTCAGCTGCAGTAGAGTCCAA